ATTCAAAATTTTTGTTTCATAAAGGCATAAAATTGAATTAATATGATCAATCAATCTAAATTATTTACTAAATCTAAATTAAAATACACCCTTTTAGGATATATGGGGCATGAGTTCATGAATAAAGATAAAACTGTTTAGATTAATCCTTGTTGGCAGGTTTGTTGCTCTAGGATATCATCCTAGAAGAGTTTAGTTAGATTCATGAACAGTGTGAGTTTCCAGAAAGTGTTCAGAATGTTCTTTGATGATGATATAACAGATTTTACAGATTCCAATGTATTGCCACTCCAGTTAATTATCGAGTCTAATTAATTTAATGAATTTATATCAAATATTAAGGCTAATTTTTAGAACTACCTAAATATTCTATTCAATAATGCAACGGCATTTTGAAATATTTAATGTGAAGAAAAATATAAGCTGTTAAGAATTCGAATAAACGAATTTCGATTGTATATCAAAATCCAAATGTTTTAAGACTTTTTTTAAGCAAATAATTTTAATTTTTATTAGTAATTTGTATTTAAAATAAAAAATATATATTTTTTTTTATTTCCTTTAATATACCGAAATTCATAAAAGTTAACAACTCTTAGGTAATTACTTACTTATAAAATTTATATTTACTAAATTATTACCATATACAATGTTGCAATACACAAAGTATATAGATGACACGCATATATATGTAAAAATATAGTTACAAACTTACAAATATACATTTTATATAGTACATAAAGGGAAAACAACAAAGAGAAAAGGCAAAAGAACTTTATAGAAATAAAATCATAGCTTATCTTTTTAGTCCAAACGTGGTAATTATTTCCATTTTAAGTGTTTCAATCTTAGTTCTTCATTTAACAGAACATATCCTTGATAATGACTTCCTCAGATTTCGTTTTTTTTCTTGTTTTTGCTCTTTCTTTTTTTCCTTACTCTTAAATATAGGTCTACTGTAAGTATATATGTACGCAGTGATACAGAATAATTTACTTTTATAGTAAGTGTAATTTATTTTTAATGTTATTGTCATTAAATTAATGCAACAACATGAAAGTAATAGGTATTTTGGTATACACATATACACACATATTATGCAAAATATATATATATACATGTATATTTAATCACATCCCTTTGTATTACATCATTTAATATATAGGTGGGATTGTGTTTGTTTTCAAGATGAACGGTGGATGAGTAAAGATTTATGTTGAAAACACAAAAAAAAGCCCTTAAATTTACTGTAAGGACAAAAGTGAATAAAAAAAATTTTCTTTCCAGTAGAGGTTATTTCGTTTTTTTTCCTTTTTTCTTTATTTATTTTAAATGTAAATAGCAATTTTTTTTATTCTCCCATATAATGATTCTTAATTCTCTTTAAGAATTGTTTTTATTGAAATGAAAAAATAAAAACCATCAAATAAAATACTTTGTGAAATTTCGAACATAAAAAAAAAAAATAATTCGAAAAGTCTTTAAGTGAATCAGGGATGAGAAGAGAGCAAAAAAAAGGGATAGATAGGAAAGTAGAGGAGAAGAAAATTTGATGTTTCTATTTCTCTTTCTCTCATTTTTCGTTTCTCTTAATTTTGCTCTGTATATATTTCTTAATCCTCTTAGACCTATTAAAATATCCAAAAGCCTATTCAATAAAATTAACTTCATTCCTATTCTTATGCCAACTTAGCATAACTTCATTGTTTACGCAAATGTTGTTCTCGTTCTGTATTTGTTTTTGTATTATCCTTATTAGTTTGTTAACTTTGAAGATTTTTATCAAGTTCATCATAGTAAGTGGAATGATTTAAAAAAAAATAACCGAAAATAAACTCATTCTTATTTATTCGTCCAATATTTAGCCGCATTAATAGCGAAATCTTTGTTTCTTTTGAAAACTCTATAGGTATAATATAACGATTAATAGGCTTAACTGTTCTTATATTATTGTTGTAGTACAAAAAGTTTTTACCACAGTACAGAGTTATCCTCGATCATTCATTACAAAAATCTTATTTCAATGCCTTTTTTGTTTACATAATTTTTCTTTTAAAGATTTTTAAATACTTATAATATAGAATTTTTGTTATTCTAGTCGAAGTTATCAATGGTATAAATTTTCCAAGTTAAAAGTACCAACCGAATTTTGAAGTATATTCAACTTACGAAATTTTATTAATAGCTTTATTCTAATTATCCATAGGATTTTTCTTTTCTTTACGTCCTTTTTTATACTCAGTACATAAACATTTAATATATACAAACTGAGCTTCCTATAGGCAATTATTGTGTATTGAGATGTCCTTGAAGTTCAAAGGAGATTACTGGTTTGTTGACTTAATAATCAATATGTAAATAATTATATGTATAATATATATGTATATATGTATATATAGATCAATGTTATTCAAAATACGTACTTTTTATCTCGGTATAAATTAAATATATATTATATTCATTTATTGCGTATATTATTTGAGATATTGAATAAATTTTAGTGGTACTTTATAGTTGGTGTACTTAATTTGACAAATGGAATAATTTAAAATAAATATTCCTTCCCAATTTGTCATTTATTGGATATTTTATTATATAAGAATAATAAAATATATTAATTATAAATTTCATTGGTATATTTTGTAAATGAGGAATGAAAATCTTTCAGAACTACAATGAAATTTAGAAAACTTCTTGTATTATATTTAGGTACTTTCGATACTGAAAGTACAAGTATATATATACGATATATAAAATTACAAGTAGTATACAATATCCGAAATTTTAAAACTGAAAATTAATTGGTCAGTATAACAATAAAACACAAGGATATATTTACTCCTTTGTACCGTATTTAAGATCACTTAAAATAGAGTTAACGCCTGCTTTCATTTCAAATTTCAATTAACAATTTATTCCTTCTGCAATAATTGTATATTAAGAATATGGGTTAGTATACCCAATTTCTTTGATAATATTGGAATAAATTGTACCAATAAGATGATTAAACCTTTGAAATTTTCCATTTGGAAAAAAAATGGGTCGGCATTTTTTCAAACATTTTATTAAAATTTAATTAAGTATAAAGAATTTATTAAAAATTTTTTAAAATTAAATGTTAATTTTAACTACAAATAAAAATTCTTCAAAAATCTTTAAAGATTTTTATGTAAGAATAAATATAATATAGATGTCATATGTCACACTAATGTGTACTTAAATCTGCCCCAATTGGAATAAAAAAAACCATACAATAAAATGGCAATATTTTGAATAAAAAAAAAAAACTAAAGTGTTTCTTCTGAGGTCAGTATTTTTGGGATGCCATTTTTTAGCACATTCTCTTTTATGTATTCCGTTTTGGTTCCTCGAATCTGTCGTTTTCGGTGAAATTTCTATATATATATAAAAAAGAAACACAAGTATGGTAAACTTCCTGTTTTCAATTTCTTTGTTTTAGATCAACATTTTTTTTTGTTTTTACCTTTATTTATATGTTTTCGTGTAAAAATAAAAAATATAAAAAGATTTTTCTTTTAAACAAAAGAATAAACATTTTTTTTATTTCAGTTTTTTCTTTTAAGTGTTTCTGTTTTCTTTGGAAAATAATTTACTAGTTATCCTTGATAAATCCACCTCCATATAAAAGACATATACCCATGCATATGCCAAAATGTTTATATTCTTACATATTAGCTTATAGTATCAATCGATAGATTGGAGTCTGTATAAAATGAATTTGAATCAAAGCAAATCATTCCATTTCATTATGAAGTGAAATAAAATTGATTTCCTAATAAAAAGTGGATTACCAAAAAGAAACAAAAAAGAAGATTTGTCAAAAAAAATAAAAGCTAAGGATGTTTAAGTTTTGGCTCTATGGTCGTTTTTATGCTATTTACATCAAATTTTTACTCTGATAATGATGATGATCATGATAGGGATTTTGGCGAAGGATAATACATGTATGTATGTGTATATTTGGAAGAAATAAAACATTTAAATAAAAATTTTTATTATTTCTTGAAAATAAAAATTATACTTATCTCTTTTGTTCTTTTATATTAAAAATCGTTTAAGATTTACTTTTTATAGATTGAGTATTAAACTTTTTTCTAAATAAAAATTAAAACTTTTCCGAAATTTATTATAATTGTTTATAAGTAAACAAATATATAAAAAATTAAATTATATGGAAGATAATCAATTTCTTTATGAATTTTTTATAATGTTAAAGAATTTATATAATTCTTGTAAAAATTAATCAATTTCTTGCTAAACGAGTTTTACGCAAAATTCTTTTTACGGATGATTTTATGGTTTTCAATATTACCCAATACAGCTCTGAAAAAGTATATCCATATTTGTGTAAGGAATAATTACGCCAGTTTCCTTAATACCATTTCACATTTGTAAATAATTTCTTTATATAGTAAGGTATTTTGTAAAAATCTCCATTTAACATAAAATTATTTTTTTCAATTTATTAAAAAATTTGTCAGAACTCTACGAGTATAAGATTTGTTCGTGTCGGCATTTAATAATTTGCTCTCATTCATTTTAAAACTTAAAAAATGCTGATGTAAATTTTATGCCTTTCAAATACTTTCATCAAATAAATTTGAAAATATTTAATAATGTTTAAATAAGCTATTCTCTATACTAAAAGTACTTGCGGTTGTATAAAATTATACTAAACGTTTATAGTATAATTTTATGAGCGAAAAAAGTTCACTCGACTAGCATAATATTTAAATTTTATTGAAAAATAAATTCAATTAATTTTGCAACTAATTTGATTTAAATTTCACCCATTTACACTTTACTATATGAAAACTTAATTATGTTTATTTAATTTATTTAATTACAATTAGATTTTTAAAACATTCAGCCTATAATAGTATTAAACTAATTTAAATATTATTTTTAAATAATATTAAAAAAAAAGAAAAAATGGTAAATAATATACTAGGATACGAGTATTATAATTTTTCTCTTACCATAATTATCACCGTCACTGCCATCACCAATTTGAATAAGACCATCATTATTACCAACAAAAGTTCTATAACGTGGATGTATACCATATTTACCACCATCAATATTTGAACTGTATCCTCCACCATCAGATATTATTTGATCATCAAAATTACTAGAGATACCATCAATATGACCAGTATTACCATTATTAATATTAGTAACACTATCAATATTTCCACTATTGCCACTTGTATTAATTATACCAAAATTACTTAAAGAATTTATAGCATCAGCAATAGTATTTCTAATTTTATTACTATCATTTTTTAAATTATTATCATTACCAACGTTACCAACGCTTCCGTCACCAATTTTATTATTTGAATCATTTATGTTACTAATTATATAACTATTTGTAGAATCAGTTAAATCTGATGACGATGATGATAATGCTGTTGGTGTTGATGGTGGTGAATTGTCTGATATTATTTCTGATTCAAATTGCGTAAATGCTGTTGCGGTTGATGCAATTAAATTTATATTGCATACCGTTATTATTATAGAAAATTGTAACAGAATTACTGTTATTTTAATGATAGATGAAAACATTGAATTAATGTTTTTTATTAAAACAACTGGACGAAACATTTTTCCGTCCAGTGTTATTCAAATTGTATAAAATTTTATATGTTTCTTATGTTTTGTTCCTTTTTTTGGTTTATATTATTAGAAATTATAAAAAATATATATATATATAATATGCTCGTGTGTATATTACTTGTTTGCTTCTAGTAAGTGTTATATTTTCAAAATTTAATTTAAATATTTCATATTCAACATTTAAAATTGTATGAATTTTCCGTGGCAATTAGTATAAATGTTGTATAACAGTTACAACCTTCTGTATAACAGTTACAATTTTTTTTTGTATAGCAGTTATCAGTATACCTATGTTATTTTCTTACACATTTGCTTTCAATTGATGTTCTTATTATTTTTTTTCTTATTTTTTAAATATAAAAGCTAAGTATATATAACAATAATTCATAAAATATATTACAAAATATGACAATTTTGAAGTATTAGTATGTATAATTGTGGATATTAGAATTTTATAATATAACAGTTTGTTGAATTCGAAGATATTCAAAAAGGTGTAATAATGTTGTGCGTTAAATTTTTTATATTAATATTGTATTATAAATTTTAGGAATTTGAAGTATTCAATATTTAAAATACACTTTAAAAAACACTTTCTTTTTTTGTATGACTCATTAATATTATAATATTTTAAACTTTATGTACTTTATATGTAAGTTAATATTTATGAAATCCAAAAAAATTGTAGAACTGTTGTAGAGTTTTTAATTACAATATTTATTTCTTGTGCTATTATAGATGGATTATTTTTTGTTTTATACTTTTTTCTTATTGTTTGGCACGTGCTTTTTATTTCTTTTAATTACAGAACATTAATAAAATACGGCTTTAAAATAGTAATGGTATTGTGTTTTTGTAAATGCTTCTTAAATTTATAGCATATTATTATTATTAGTATTATTTTTTGTTATTGTTTTGTTGACTATTATTAATAATGTATACACATATACTTATGTATATCTGTTATACAATATAAAATCGTGTTCATATAATAATATGACAAAAAATTGGTTTATTTTCAAAAAGTTGGTTTTTATTTATTGTGCATGTACGACATAAAATTTATCGCTATAATTCATATATATATATACGTATATTATGTAAATATTGTTAGTATTGATATACTTAAGCGGGGACTAGATAATATATGAATTTAATATCAAAACTGGAACGTGATGCATTGTTTCATTTGTTGGTTATTATTATGTTTTTTTTTTATTATTATGTACTTATGTACACTTATATGTTATACATATAAATTATAATATTCTTTATTTTTAATTTACTCTTTTCATAAATGGCGGTCTTTAGTACGTTTTTATAGTTTGATTTTGTCATTTAATTCTGACCAACAAAAAAAAAATGAATATTATTTTTTTATATTTATTTATTTTTATTTTTTTGGTTTATATCATAAAATTTTTGCCGGGCACTAACTAAACAGTATGTACAACTAGAATATTATATTTATGTACGTGTATGTGTTGTTTAGGTATCTATATATACGGTTATTATGTATAGCTAGATACCTATAATACATACATGTACATATATACATAAATTTATTATAAAAAATTAAAATTCATTTAGATATTCACATTCAAATCATTGTGGCAACATGAATACATACATAATATGTATATCAAAGTTGAACATATTGTGTATGAGATCACAGAGCCCAAAATACTTACATATGTAAGTACGTACTTTTGTAAAACAACAACTGTCATGTACTATAGTACTTTGTAATGCTAAGTGAAAATATGATGAAATTTTAGAATTTGGGAATACAAAGTAGGGGTTTAGTTGAATTTAATTTCCTTGCATTATAAATAATTTTTGTGTGTGTTTTTTTTTTCTTTTTATGTGTCTACATAATAATATTTTTTTTTTTAGTAAATGTGTTATTTTGTAATAATGATTGTTTTTACGTTTCATTCGAATATAGAAAAATTTTATTAAAATATTTTTAGATTTTGTAATATAGTGCGGATGATTAATACATACATACACAATTTAACTTACTTTTATATTGAAGAGTTTAACCGAACAATGGTATTAATAAAATTTTATTGTTTTAATAGAATTGCCAGACCATTTGAAATAACAAAAAATCAAAAAGGAAAAGGAAAAATAAAACGATTGTTTAATATTGTTAAAATTCAACACCAACAACACTGACTAAAGGTTATTTTGATAAAATGCAATCATTTTTTTTTTAATATTTTCAATTTATTTTAATGTTTTTATTGCAAAAGAAAAGTTATTCTTTGTTCTTTCTCTTGTTTTTTGGTTTTGTAAATTGTATTATTATACGCAATCTATGTCACGTATCAACTTTACATCATTCATTACAAATAAACTGAAAACAAAATTTTAGAATATAAAATAAGTATGAGTTCCACGAATTTATAATTTAAGTTGAGAGCAATTTTAATATATTTTTGTAATTTTAGTCCAAGGACAATAAAAACTAAACCGGAGCCTTCCAAATTCCTTTTCGTCTTAAAATAAAAATTTTCAATTGTAATAAAAATTTTATATGTATTTAAAATTTGCAAACTGAGGACTTAGTTTTAAATATTTACAAAATTTTGTGAAATTTTTTTTTGGAACATTTAAAACTAAGTAAGTATGTTCATATAAATAATTTATAACCAATTAAAAATAATTCATTATTGCAAGCCAAAAGGATAATTCGAAAATAATTATAAAACTTTATAAATGAAAAGTTTACAGTTCACTATGTAAAGCTGGGAAGGAAAGCAGACAATCTATGTTTTATTTAACCTCAAAATAACATGTATCAAGCTTGACATTATGATTATGATATTTGAATTTAAAACAGTAACAGAAATAAGTTTATTTATTTTATAAGGTATATATAAGGGACTCAGAAGCAAAATACCGTATCCCTCACTCACAAAATTTTTGCTTTTTTATTAGAAATAGATGTAAAATTAGGTTCCAAATTTAATTTAATCGACAAAAAAGTCAATTTTTTCCTACTTATATTCCGTTATTTTTTTGGCCTAAACCCAAAATTTAATTTTTTTCAGTGGCCTTACCCACATATTGAGTATGTACATATATGTACATGATAAAAAATTTGGAATACCAATTGATTGGTTAATTTTACGCTTCGGTATCTATTTTAATTTATAAAACTTAATTCTTACTAGTGCCATTCAAAGAATTGTTCTATTGTGTAATTAAAAAACTTGTCTTCTGTAAAACTTTATACTCAGACGATGGTATAATTTAAATTTTTATTTTTATCGCGGTGAATGTTAAGTTTTGGCCAAATTTTTTTTTTTTTTTGTGATTCAAAATTTTTAAAAACACAAAACCATAACCAGAGAATATAAAAAAAATTGATTTTAGAATGTTTTTAAAATACTAAACTTTGTATGTATATATGTTGTGTATAGCAAAACCAGATCATGTTGATCCAAAACAAAAGTTTATTAACATTACGATTTCATTGGAGTTTTGTATTTTAGCTTCGAAATTCGGAAAATATAATTTAATATGACTCATTTATCTTTGTTATTTATTGAAATAAAATTTGTACTTAGTTGCTTTCAACTAAATTTTATTATTCCCACATCAATTCATAACAAATACGCTATAAAATACGAGTAATTCTATATTTTTTTTTAATTCTTAATTTATTTTTGTTTTTCAATTAACTAGATATAGCATACTTAACAGAGATGAATTCAGCGTATGCTTCATGAATTATATTATACATACATACCTACATAATACGTATGTATATGAATTATAATTTATGGTTTTTAATTTAAAATAAATAAATTAAAAATTATTAGAGAATATTATGTTTCACTAAATTTGAAATGCTCGCCTATTTCTCTTATAAAACAAAATAATTAATGTTGATTTAGCCAGACTAATTGTTTGCAATTAATATTTGTATAAATTTATAGAACTACATAAATAACAACTACAATATTATATCAATTTATATACATACATACATACTTATACAAAAAATTATATTTTCTATAATATTATATAAGCAAGTGTTGCACGTACATAATTTGTAACAAAACCACAAATGAAAAACGAATGCTCGGTTTTGAGATCAAAATAATATCAAAATGTATATTTTAAAATTTAATTATAAATTGTTAAAAATTATTTACATATTTATCAAAATTGACCCAAACTTTGTATACCTACATATTTATAATTTTGAGTTTCTCTAATGAGATCATAAAATAAATAAGTATGTAAGTATATACTAAAAAAATTGAGGAATTCCTATAAGTATACCTATACAGAGAATAATTATTTATCTCTTTATTATTATACAAATTTACAGGAAATACCACTTTATTACCACAAAACATCACACTTAAGAGAAATTAATTCACAACGTTTACCTGTAGAACAACAAAAAAAAAAACAAAGACATGGTACGAAAGAAAAAAGAAACCTGAAAGGTAAAGGTAACATGAGACAATGAGACAGGTAGTCAGTCTTTTTTTTTCATTCTTTCATTTTTACAATTTCTTTTTAAATGTATTATAAATTTCTGTTATCGTTCGTTATATACATAGCAGATTTTAAAGCGTTAATATTATAGTGAACCTTGTGCAATTCAATTAAAATTCTATTGAAGTTGTGGAAACATTTCGGAATTTGAAAAAAAATAGTAATGTTATTCCAAAATTAATTTTCTACTAACCATAACACGAGAAATCAGAAACTCTCATATTTTAATTTTTTTTCTAATGACTAATCCTCTCTCGCTTTCCTTTTGGTATAGAATATTTTTTCTAGTTCGTCACCTTTTCGTCGTCTTTGTTGAAAACGAAAAAACTGAGTAAAGTACCTATATTGGTAAATTGATCCTATGTTACGGGAATTTTGATTAATATTTCAAAATCTTTACTTGATAAAGAATAATCTTATATTATATTCGATTATTAGACATAGTTTCTATACAATTTTGTGTTATGTACCACAACCACAAGATTGCATGCATTTTAATACTTAAATTTTTTTATATACCTGACTTGTTATAATTCTATACTTTCATTGACTGCGAGGAGACATGGAATTACATACAATCAAATTTATATTTAAATAAATTATATAACTACTTATATGTATTTAGCATTTTAATGACTCATATTCATGAGAATTACAGAATAAACAACATAAAAACCACACAAAATATAAATGGTCTTTTGAACTTCAACTTTTTTTTAAAATTATTGGTAAATATCGAGGAACACGTTAATAGTTACCTACTTACTTTTTTCGAAAAACAATATCAGAAATAAGAAGCAAGATATTAATAAAGTTGGGTCAAACCAATGGTTTGTTTTGTAGCACTTTTCCCTTCAACAAGTGAAAATACTGCTTTTAAATACAGTCTATGCATATCTATCACACTATTAAAATTATTTTCATACATATTTAACTATTTCTAGGATTGCATATATTTAGGATCATGCATATATGCAGTCTTTGAAATAAAGCGAAAATTAATATAAAATGGGGTTAACATAATGCTCGATTTTAAGGTTTAATTGTGTGAGTTAAGAAAAATAATTATATTTTTTAATGTCATGGAATTTACCGTTAGCTTTTTGTGTTTATAGAAATTTGAAAAGGCTTGCGGTTTCGGAAAAATAACGTGTCAAAAATTCAAATTTTACAAATTTCAAGATGCGATAACTTGAGAGGGGGTGGAGATGGAAAAAAATTTTCTTCTAACGAAATGAACTATTTGTTAATATCTAAAAGCCCCTTAAATTTCAAGCTTCTACATGCGGGGGATTAGAAGAAAAACGAAAGCAAAAATTTGGAAAAAAGGGACTTTAGATAACTGTAAATTTGAACGGCCATTTTGTTTTTCTAAAGTTTAACTATAGTACACCGCTCTAGGGAAAGCAAGCCACTGCCTTTCTGCGTTTGAAAAATTTCAAAAATGCTTATGGTTTCTTTGCAACGAATAGTTAAAAAAGGCCATTTTTAGGGTTTTGGGGGGGAATAACTTCAAGAGGGGGGGAGATAGGTAAAAATTTTGTTCAACGAAAATAAGTTTCTAGTAAAGATCTATGTACATATAAAATTTCAGTTTTCTATCTTCAAGGGTGTAGAAGTTTTGTAAACAGACACACGGACAGACGGACGGACGGACGGACGGACAGAGTGAAACTAATAAGCACTTTTTTTCAAAAATTTTTTGGAAAAGTGCTAAAAAGGTATACGTAAAAATTTTTAACTTTCCCGATTGATATGAGATAAATGTTTTCTAGCCAAAGTTATTCACATTCTCTTCATTCACAATTCATAAAAAAATTCTT